CAGCCCCGCCCAGCCCCGCGTGTCCAGCTGGGATTAAGGCACCGGGATGCAGTCTCTCCGAGGGTGGCAGAGCCTCACGTATACTCCGTCTTCCGGATGTAACTGGACGGCACGTAGCCCTGCTTGCCACGCGCCTCAGCCAACCACCACTCTCGATTGCCTGTGATGTCTTCGAACTGCAGGATCCTGAGTCTCTGATTGGCTGACACACTCAGCTCATTTGGACTTCGGCCTTTAAAGGTGTAGACAGCATAATAGACCTGGAGGGGCAAGGGGACAAAGCAGGTCAGAGCTGGGCTGGGCCTGAGGAATGACAGGCCAGGATCAGCACATCGTGCAGCTCTTTGGGCAGTGTGAGGATTTCTCTGACTCACTGAGAGGGAAACTGAGGCACAGCAAGGGGAAAGGACAATCTCCTTGGCCATACTGGGTGTCCAAAGTCCATGCAATCCCGCATCCTGTCCTCCAACAGTAGCCAATGCCAAGTGCCCCGGAGGGACTGAGCAGGACAGGGATCCATCCCGCTACCCAATTCAGAGTTACTAGTAAACAGAGGCTAGGGACACAGCCCTGTCCACCCTGTCATAGAGGGACCCATTCCCCATGAATTTACTTAGCTCCTTTTTTAACCTTGTTATAGTCTTGGCCTTCACAACATCCTCTGGCAAAGAGTTCCACAGGTTGACTGCATTGTGTGATGAAAAACTTCCTTTGGTTTCAAACCTGCTGCCTATTAATTTCATTTGCTGATCCCTGGCTCTTATGTTATGAGAAGGAGTAAACAACAGTAAACTACAAAGGATGTAGTTATTAACGGTTCGCAATCCTGCTGGAAAGGGATAACAAGGGGGGTTCCGCAGGGGTCTGTTTTGGGACCGGCTCTGTTCAATATCTTCATCAACGATTTAGATATTGGCATAGAAAGTGTCCTTATTAAGTTTGCAGATGATACCGAGCTGGGAGGGGTTGCGACTAATCTGCAGGATAGGGTCATAATTCAAAATGATCTGCACAAATTGGAGAAATGGTGTGAGGTAAACAGGATGAAGCTTAATAAAGACAAATGTAAAGTGCTCCACTTAGGAAGGAACAATCAGTTTCACACATGCAGAATGAGAAGCGACTGTCTAGGAAGGAGTACGGCAGAAAGGTGTCCAGGGGTCATAGTGGACCACAAGTTGAATATGAGTCAGCAGTGTGATGCTGTTGCAAAGAAAGCAAACATGAATCTGGGATGCATTAACAGGTGTGTTGTGAGCAAGACACGAGAAGTCATTCTTCTGCTCTACTCTGCACTAGTTAGACCTCAGTTGGAGAATTGTGTTCAGTTCTGGGCACCGCATTTCAAGAAAGACGTGGAGAAATTGGAGAAGGTCCAGAGAAGAGCAACAAGAACGATTACCGGTCTAGAGAACATGATCTATGAAGGAAGACTGAAGGAATTGGGTTTGTTTAGTTTGGAAAAGAGAAGATTGAGAGGGGACATGAGAGCAGTTTTCAGGTGTCTAAATGGGTGTCATGAGGAGGGAGAAAACTTGTTCATCTTGGCCTCTGAGGATAGAACAAGAATCAATGGGCTTAAACTGCAGCAGGGGAGGTTTAGGTTGGACATTAGGAAAAAATTCCTAACTGTCAGGGTGATTAAACACTGAAATAAATTGCCCAGGGAGGTTGTGGAATCCCCATCTCTGGAGATATTTAAGAGTAGGTTAGATAAATGTCTCTCAGGGATGGTCTAGAC